CCCCCCCCTTCATTTTTCCCTTCCTTCTCCTAATGTCCTCAATGCTGTTCCTTATGTTCCACAAATAAGTGAAACCATATGATAATTGACTTTCTCTGCTTGACTTATTTCACTTAGCATCATCTCCTCCAGTCCCATCCATGTCGACGTAAAAGTTGGGTATTCATCCTTTCTGACGGCTGAGTCATATTCCATTGTATATATGGACCACATCTTCTTTATCCATTCATCTGTTGAAGGGCTTCTCGGCTCTTTCCACAGTTTGGCTATCGCGGACATTGCTGCTATGAACATTGGGGTGCATAGGGCCCTTCTTTTCACTACATCTGTGTCTTTGGGGTAAATACCCAGGGGTGCAATTGCTGGGTCATAGGGTAGCTCTATTTTTAATTTTTTGAGGCATCTCCACACTGTTTTCCAAAGTGGCTGTCCCAACTTGCATTCCCACCAACAGTGTAAGAGGGTTCCCCTTTCTCCACAACCTCTCCAACATTTGTTGCTTCTTGCCTTGTCAATTTTTGCCATTCTAACTGGTGTAACGTGGTATCTCCATGTGGTTTTGATTTGAATTTCCCTGATGGCTAATGATGATGAACAGTTTTTCATGTGTCTGTTAGCCATTGGTATCTCTTCTTTGGTGAAGTGTCTGTTCATGTCTTCTCCTCTGTTTTCTTAGTTACAAAATGGTGATGATGTATCTTTCTTTGCCATTCATGGGGTTTGTCGTAAAATTCATTCATTTCTTAAATGTCTTTTGAACACTCTACTGTGTGCTAGATAATGTTCTAGGTGCTGGGGTTAGGACAGTGAGAAGGAGAATGATTCCTGTTCTTGCAGAGTTTATAGTGTGGAGGAGGTAATATAATGCATAAGATAAATATGTAGAATATAGAGCATTTTAAGTGAAATTTTAAGAACAATGAAGTAGGCACAGGGAGTTGGGGGTGAGGGGTTAACTTTGGCCCTTGTGCAGAGTAGAGCTCACTGAGAAACGGCATTTGAGCAGATAAATGCCTGATGGAAATGAGAGCACAAGCTGGGCTGGCCTTTGGGAGAAAGGATTGCAGGCAGGGGCATCAGCCAGAGCAAAGGCCCTGTGGCAGCGAGAATAGCAGAGCAGGATGGCTGGAGCAGAGAGAGTGGACAGGGGAGCATCAGAGAGAAAAACAGAGACTCAAGGTTTGTGGATGTACCCAGACTGGCTTTTGCCCCAGGCAAGATGGGATGCCCCGGGTGAGTTTTAAGCAGGAGACTGGCATGATCTGATTCACATCTCGCAAGGGGACTCCTGTCTGCTGTTTTGAGCGGGAGGCCGTTTGGGAGAATGTCGTAGCTAGCAGGTGAGAGCTGATGGGCAAAGGGTGGTCATCGTGGAGACAGTGAAATGAGAACAGATGGGAACCCACTTTGAAACTGAAATTGCTCCTCGAATGCACGATGGTGTTGAAATATTGCAGAAGGGACCATGTGAATAAAAGCAGAGGGCAGCTAACGTAGGACATGGCTACCAGCTGAACGGGAGGTTGGTCCATGTGGAGAAGCTGGGTAAGATGCAGCAGATGGGGGTGCCCGGGTGGCTCAGTCAGTTAAGCGTCCAGCCCTTGATCTCAGGGTTGTGAGATCAAGCCCTGCATCAGGCTCTGTGCTCAGTGGGGAGTCTGCTTAAGATTCTGTCTCTCCTTCCCTATCTCTCCCTCCAACCCCAACTTGCGCTTGCTCGCTCGCTCACGCTCTCTAAATCAATCAATCAGTCAATCAATCAATCTTTAAAAAAAAAGATGGAGCAGATGAACTCCAGGCGCAGGTATGGGCTTGACTGTCAGGACTTGTTTACGACAAGGCAGAACCCAGAAGTATGCGGGGAGGATCACAGTTCTTTATACTTCTCGCGTGTTGAGCGCCTTCACCACCAACCTGTTTGCTAACACTGAGATCCACCTCTGTTTCTCCAGTTCTGCATGGAAACAATCACTTAACCCCCATGCTATCCGAGATGTGACTTGGAGCAGAGCTTGGTCACGAAGGGATCAAAAATGTATATGCCTTTCCTGAGGGAGTCCTCCCTCCCTGGAGGATTCAACATCATCCTTTTGGGATGACCCAGTGCCTTCCAAGCCCACTTCTTGCTAACTGGCATGCTTTTCTCCTCAACAACCCTTTAGAAGCATAAAGAGCTTAATCAACCCAAATTAGAGGGGTCTCCCTCATTCCAGGGGTTGTTTCGAATATCACTGCTCTGGGGAGAGGAGAAACAAGTCCTCCCAAGAGGAGAATTTCCTACTAGAAGGACTGTTCTCAAAAACATGTCCTTGGCAGCCCATTAATTATATTTCATCTTGACAGATCTCGTATATACTTGTTATATCTTTAGGGGGGAAAAAGGTGTTGGGTGATTAATTGGTTGATAGGGTATGTTAATTGGATGCTAATTAAATTTAAATCTAATTCATATTTGAAACACTTAATTTAACTCAGGACCAGAAAATTAGAATATTCAGGCTTCTTGAAGGAACTTGTCTTCCTATCTGTCACCTCCAAATGTCTATTGACACTTTCTCCTTGTTTACACACTTGTTTTTCAAGAGAAGGAATCAGATGGTTCTTAGAGCTTCCAGCTGTAATAAGAAGTGTCAGTTCTCGCAATACATATTTAATTGCTTTATTGAAAAAAAACAAGTACATAGATCTCCACTCCATTACTTAAGGTTGTTCTCAACAAGTCCCATCAGGCTGGGCAGTGGTGGTGTGTGAAGGAATGATTCCAGAAGAGAGTCTGTAGCTAAGTCTCCAGAAAGGCACGGAGTTGCTCTGCAAGGAGCCTGATGATAACCTGAAGGCAGCGGAAGAGCCCTTCAAGGTGCTAGAAGCTTCTGGGAAATTCTCTGAGGGCTGTTGTTCTTATTCCCCCTTGGGGAAAACCCCAGGAGATGAACTCTCTGAGACCTCTGCTGACAAACTATCCAGTAGCTCCTGTCTTATCCCCCAGGTGTGGAAGGGGCCCCCACCCACCCCGATGTGGGAGCCACAGCCTCCATGCTCCTGTACTGTTTGACCTAGAGGAAGCAGGTCTACCCAGGATCCAGTTATCTGTAGATTTCCTTGAGGGTAGAGTCCCAGGCCTTGAGACCATGAAGGTATCTTCTGTTTCTACTCTATAAGCCAAGAAAACTGGGGACCACAAGTATGATAGATGGAGCCTGGGCTCTGAAATTTAACTGCTCCAGATCTGTATCCTGGCTTCACCCTAAAAAAGTGCCTTTGTTCTTCTGAGCCTCAGTGTCCTCATCTGTAAAATGGGATGATAATACTAATCGTGCACCGATGTTGCACAGATTCAATGAGGTCATATGCATTTGTAAGGACCTGACACAGGGCACGTTGTAAGGTGTTGAATGCCTGGTTGATGCAGTCACCCTCACTACCAGCTGATTCCCAGCATCACCACTGGTCCTGTAGAATGTCCTGGATCTGGTAGTAACTGCTGCTGTTTGCAGGCAGGTGCACGCTGCACCATTGTTTGTCCTTGACACCTGTTCTTTCTCAGTGCTGGCATCTGAGGTTTGAACCTCCCTCCCTCACTAACTGGCTCATCTCCTCAGCTGTCCTGGAAAAGCCTCTAGAAAAGAAGGCTGGCAGAAATTATGGCCCCCCAGGCAACAAGAAGCTTATCTATTTCATCGATGATATGAACATGCCCGAGGTGGACGCCTACGGGACTGTGCAGCCCCACACCATCATCCGGCAGCATCTGGACTATGGCCACTGGTAAGCATGCATGCAAAGGGCCTGGGGCCCACAGGATGGGGCGGGGGGCGGGCTGAAGGCTGTTCCACTGGAGCCACAAACCACAGTTGAGTGCTGGTGCCAGATGAGAATCCCCACGGCAAACCACATTCCTCACGGGATTCTGTTTCCTGGGGAGTTCTTCAGACAGGGGCTTTAATGCCTACGTGGGAAGTCTCATCTAAGGGGGAAAAAAAAAAAAAAAAAACCTACCTTTTTCTTCAATACTCATCTCAAAAATTACCTTCTCCAAACCCCCAGAGCAGAATTATACTCTTGTCCCTCACTGTGGCCCCGTAGCACCGAGCGGGTACTGGAGTGAGAACAGCTCACACGCTATGGAGTGTGCAGACGTCTGCAGGCCTTAACAGCCGTTGTCTCTTTCAGAACAACTCACAGGGTCTGACATTGTCTCTTGAAACAGCATAATTGTTCCTGGCAAAAAGTCTGAACTTGTCAGAAAAAAAAAAAAAAAAATCCGTGATTGGAGACCACTTTGGCTCACCTTCCTGCCCCACGTTGAATGAGTTGCTGAGAAAGTGGTCAGTGTGAAGAGGGAGCTCAGAGAGAATGGTGGTTGTGATGGTGACCTGAGTTGCCTTTCGGTCATTCCTCACGTCTTTGTGGGATGCCTGCCATACACCGCCGTCTGCAGTGTGCGCACCAGCACCTGGACTGTTCTGGAACCCTTCAGCCCTGCACACAAGTGTTACGTCAGACTCCTGGTCTGATGGACTTAGGTGGGCGGTAGAAGCTCTCCGGAAGTCCTGCCCTGTTGCCTTGACATTTTGCATTTCCACTCTCAGCAATGGCTATTTCATACCTTCTGTCTGTCGGCAGGCTGCCCACCCCACCCCCGCTGGTGACCACGGGCGCCACCTTTGTTTCTTGCTTCCACATCGGTACAACTTACTTGCTTCCCCCTGCGCCCCTTTCTCCCTGGTCCTGACACACCTTCCCTGAAGCTGAACCGTCACCAGCTTCTTGCTTCTGCTCTCTCCCACCTCCTGCGTTAACTGCCCCTCAAGTCCTGAATAGTTCCTTCTCTTCAATATTGAGACTCACCTAGATTTCCTCTATTGTGTTCAGAAACATCATTTTCTAATTATTGGCCTGTTCTCTCCCCCTACAAAGCCAAATTTCTCTGCTCTGTTTCCACTTTGCCACCTTCCCCATCACTGCTCACCCCACTGCCTGGTTTCTGTTTCTTCTACTTTACTGAACCATTGTTCTTGCTCACCCCCAACTCTATCTTTATTAAGATCTAACAGACCCATTGGGTTGGGTCACTGTCTTTCTTCTTCTCTCTGCAGCACTGGACACGGTTGACTGCTCTCTCCTTTTGGAAATACTGGTTTCCTTAGCCTTCTGGGGTGCCATCCACCCTGGATCTCTACCCTACCCCTTAGTCCATCTTTATGGTTTCTTTCTCCTACACTACTCCCATAGATGTTGGACCCCTCAGGATTTGGTCCTAAGCTCTTGTTCTTCTTCAGTCTCTACCAATGGAACTGGACTTTTTTTTTTAATAAAGATTTTATTTATTTGTTTAACTGACAGAGAGAGAACTAGAGAAAGAACACAAGCAGGGGGAGTGGGAGAGGGAGAAGCAGGCTTCCCAGTGAGCAGGGAACTGGATGCGGGGCTCGATCCCAGGACCCTGGGATCATGACCTGAGCCGAAGGCAGCCGTTGAACCGACTGAGCCACCCAGGCGCCCCTCTGGACTCTTCTTTTAACCACCCACACACATGAATGATAGGACACATCCCACCTCACCTTGACAAGGCACTTACCTGCCTGGACCCTCACCCATCTGTCACTGTGGTTTCTGCCTGTTCCAGGTATGATCAGAGCAAGCTGTCCCTGAAGGAGATCAAGAATGTCCAGTATGTTTCCTGTATGAACCCCACTGCAGGCAGCTTTACCATCAACCCACGGCTTCAGGTATGGGAGGAGCTGAGGTCCTGAATCCTGAATAAATTCTGTCTTACCAGGATGGCTATCGCTCAGTGACGAGTAATCATTGGCCCTCCCCCTGTCCAGCCTCTGAAAGTGACAAATCATACAGGATGCTGATTTGCATGTCTAGGGGGACAAAGATACTCCTAGACCCAGAGCCATGAAGCTTTTCGAGCTGGAAGGGGTCATGGAGTCCATCTGATTTCACTCATTCTTCAGAGTAGGGAAACTTCAGAGAGATGAAATGACTCTCCTAAGGTCATGTGGATCTTCAGTATCAAATACTTGTTGGGACTCAGATGCTCTGAGTTCAAGTTCTGTTCTCTTCCTACAACCTGCTGACATCTTCAACTAAAGGCCCAAAGCCTGTTACTCCTCCAGGCATTTAGATTCAACCCAAGTTTAGGTTCAGTGTGAAAAATGTGACCAGATTATAGAATCCAAAGCCCTTCTAAGAATTCCTCATTATTTGACCCAAACCCCCAGAAGGCAATTTTGACTCTAACTCATGCTCTAACTCACACGCCTGTTCCCCTGGGCAGCGTCATTTCAGCGTGTTCGTCGTCTCCTTCCCGGGAGCAGACGCCCTGGCCTCCATCTACGGCAGCATCTTGACTCAGCACCTAACGTTCAGACACTTCCCAGTGGCCCTGCAGACATCCAGCCCCCAGCTCATTAATCTGGCCCTGACCTTCCACCAGAAAATTGCCACCACGTTCCTACCCACAGCGATCAAATTCCACTATGTTTTCAACCTCAGAGACTTTGCCAACATTTTCCAGGTGAGTCCATCTATTCAGAGATGCCCCAGAAGGCTTAGTGATGATCTGGTCCCTTCCACTCTTGGTAAAACAGTAGTTAATGCCAAACTCTAAGCAAAGGCACAGTTCATATGGAGTCATGAGCATAATGAACAGGTCAACAGGGTGCCATGGGATCCGCGAGGAAGGACGTCAACCAGATAGAGTTCTGTTTGCCAATGACAAACACGTCATTTCCCAGGATGCGTTTCTGAGTTGATTCCTTTGGGTTGGAGAAGGCTCGGCATCCTGAAGAAAATGTTATATAATGATTCCAGCATGCCTTGGAAGGAATGCAGAGAAAACTATTTTGTAGGCCCTGGTGATATACCATTGTTCTTGGGATCAAAAAGAATGTCCCCTGAGTCATGCAGGATAGATCTGCTTCCTAAAGAAAGCCATGTCGTAATATTCTTGAGATACCATCTGCCAGCCCCTGGGAAGCCTCTGTTTTAAAATTCCAGGTTCCTTTCCAGGCCACAGCCATTTGAGATGTTTCCACCTGCTCCTCTGAATGGTGATAGCCTGTCTCTGCCTGTTGCTCTCCGTTTCTTGACCCTTCGTGGCCACAACGTCCAGAGGGCAATGTGGCAAAGCCCAGCCCCCTCTTCCTCTTGGTCAGACACACCATCCTCACAGGGTGGAGTCCACACCTTTCCCCTCCTGGACAGGAATGGGCAGAAACTGCTTTTCAGAGAGTCCTCCCCCAGAGGGCCCTGGGCAAGGATAGAGGGAAGGATGCCTTTTATAACAAGCAGAGGCCACACCTGTTGGGGAATGTCAGTCGGCATGATCAGGGAGTGAGGCAGACCTGCCACAGTGAGCACGTGTATTTGGATTTCATTACCCAGGGCACACTGCCTGTGCGGGTAGAATTCCGGGGAACCTCAGACTAGCAAAGGTCCAGACCGTGAGGATACAGGGCCTGCAGGGTCCAGCCAAGACTTTTGGTTGTAAAGAGCAGAAATCCCCCAAACATTAGTTCAGAGACCTAACAACTGTGTTCCGGAATGGCTGAACTTAATGGTGGAGACACTGAGCCCCACGTGAGGGCAGGTCTTTGAGAACACACCTGAGCTGGCTCAGGACAGCCCTCCTGGGTCATGCACCTTCTAAACATTAACTCTGCTAAAAATGAGGAGAAACAGAGACCCCCCAGGGATTCTGTAGATTTTCCTGAGAGCACACAGCCAGCCGGCGAAGGAACCGGGGCAAGAATCCAGGTCTTTGGGTTCCTGGCCAGGCCCTCCATCCACCACACCATTCTGTCCTTCTCATATGTGCTTCTGACACAGCAGAAGCACATATGAGGCAGCAAGAAAGACTCCGCTCGAAGCCTGTGAAGCCTGAAGATTGTAGCCGTGAGGCCAGGACAATAGTAAAGTTTGTGCATGCCCACTCTCATCTCTCATCTTGAGTATTAACAGAGAAAGATCTCTGTTATCACATACCCCCTCTCTGAAATCTCAATGCAGCTAATGTCATTGGAACAAATGCACGTTGCTCATAGGGCAGAGCTGAAGGGAGGAGGGCATTAAGTCTCCTCTACCAGAAGCATCCAGCTCCTGCCCGGACAGACGCCTTGTCACCCGCACATCCTGAAATGTATACTCATGACAACCCTTTGGGTTGCACATTATTATCCCAATTTAAGAGAGGCTTGGGGAAGTTACCAGCTAGGTGACAGCATGAATGGTCATGAAGGCCCATGTCTTTGTCTAACTCAGGCAGGCTGAGTGGCAATCTCCTGGGCTCTCTGTAGCCAGTCAGCTGTCAGCCACCTGCCACAAGGGTGGGTGGGGAAAATGCATCCTTCCCTGGAGCGCCTGCCTCCCTGCAACCACACAGCCCCCTCCCCTCTTCCTCCAGAGGGCAGTTTCAGGCTCAGAGCTTGACCACAGCTTCCCCTGCCTGCCTCCCCGCCTCCCTGTCTGAAGCATGAGTGGGTGGTTAAATGTCTGCCGGAAGACAAGCGTTGCCTAAACACGCTGCTTTCCTCCATCCAGCTTGACCCAAGGCTCAGTAATTCAGACCTTCTCTGCACTCCCCCCACTGTCCTGATCAGGACATGGTCTGATAGAGCTCTGAGTAGCAAAAATCATTAACCGCTCCCATCTCAATATGACTCGTAACTAAAGTACAGAGTCTGTGCTTAGTGTGCTCACATCGACTCAGCCCTTAACTGCCAGGCATCCTGAGCATTTGGCTTTCCCGGGGTTATAAGCTCCAAGTGATAATGCACCTCCCTGTGAAAGTCCAAGAAGTTGGGGTTCCTGGTCGGTGCTTCTTCCTGCTATCTGCATCTGGTTCCTGCTTGATACCTAGGAGAGCCGAGGAGGAGGGGGGCGGAGATATGGGTATGGGTGGGGCCAAAGGGACCTGATGGAATTTCTTTCTTTTGCAAAAATAAACTTTTATCAGAGTATAACATACATGTAGGAAAGCACATGAGTCATAAGCTCACAGCTTGGTTAATTATCACAAAGTCATCACACCTACGTAAACACGAGAAGGATTTTAGATCTTCAGATCAAGAAACAGAACATTCCCACAATCCTAAAGCTCTTCCTTTTTTCTCCCTTCCATTTGGTTTTTCTTTCCCTCCCAGAGGTAAATACTATCTGGACTTCTAACACCCTAAGCTCTTTTGGCCTATTTTTGGACGTTACCAAAATAGAATCCTATGACAAATATTATTTTGTAGCTTCGTTTAATATTATGTTTATACATACATATACAGTCATGTTATTGGTAAAAAATACTAGTGATAGTAATTTCTTTCTTTCCAATCCTTTAATCTTATAATTTCTTTTTCTTGTCTTACTGTGCTGGCTACAACTGATGTTGAAGAGAAGTTGTATGAGTGGCCTCTTGATGCATTCTTAATTTTAGAGGGAAGGGCTTGTAATAGTTGACCATTAAGTGTGTTGCTTACTATAGGTTTCGGGGGATGCTTTTTGACAGATTAAGAAAATTTCCTCCTGTCTATGGTCTCCTAAGAGTTTTAACCATGAATGTATGTTGAAACTTAACAAATGATTTTTCTGTTGCTCTTGAAATAATCATATCGATTTTTTCTCATTGTTTCTAGAAATGTGATAAATTACATTGATTAGTTTTGAGTCTTAGATCACCCTTGCATTCCTCTAATCAACCCAACTTAATTGCTACATGTTGAGCCTTATATATTTTGCTGGGTTCCATTTGCTATTTTTTAATATACTTTTTGCAACTCTATTAATAAGATGGCCCTGTAATTTTCCTTTCCTCATAAAATGCACTGGGAGGTGGTCCCTCTTTTTCTACTCTCTGGAAGCTTTTGTAAAACATTGTAGTGAGCCTTCCTAAATGTCAGAAGAATTTACTGCTGAAACAATCTGGAGTTTTTTGTAGAAAATCTTAAGTTATGAGTTCAGTTTCTTTGTACACATTAGCCAATTCAGATTTTCTGTTTCTTCATGTGTCAGTTGTGGTACGATATCAATGTTCTCAATTTCTAATTTTAGATACCTGTTGTATCTGAGATTATGTCTTCTTTCTTATACTGGATATTGAGTATTTGTGTCTTTTCTGATTTTCTCTTTTTCTCTTTTATCAGCCTTACTAAGGAGTTATCAATTGTGCTAATCTTTTCAAAGAAACTGAAAAATATACTAATATTATAGGCTTTTTTTTGCTTTATTTGCTGTCTCTATTTGATAACTGCTTTTATATTAATAATTGCTCTTTTCTTTATAATCACTTTCTTCACACTTTTAGGTTTGAGGCTCTCCTTTTTCTAACTTCCATGACAATGGCTACTTGTGTCATCAATCATCAGCCTTTCGGCTCTTCTAAAACATTCATTTTAAGGCTATGAATTTATCACTCTGCCATACCCTGTATCATGCAAACTTTTATATGTTGTATTTTTATTATCATTCACTTCATAGTATTTCTTAATTTCCTCTATGGTTTCTCCTTTAACCCATGGGATATTTGGAAGTATTGCTTTATTTTCTAAAATTGAGAGATTTTCTAGCTATCCTTCTCTTACTGATGCTCAGCTTAAGTCCACGGTTGTCAGAAAATATACTCAATTATTTTATTCCTTTGAAATTTGTTGAGATCTGCTTTATGTCCCAAGATTTGACCAATGTGCGCTTCTTAAATAGTGCATTCTTCAGGTGCTGAGTGTAGCTGAATCAATATGCCCATTAGGTCAAGCTTGTAAATCATGTCATTGAAATATTTTATATCCTTACTAATTTTTTTGACGACTTGTTCTGTCAGTTCTGTCAGTTTCTTAAAAAGGTGCAATTGTGCAGTTGTGGACATGTCCATTTCTCTTTTTGTTTATGTCATACTTGCGTTATGTATTTTGAAACTAGGTTATTAGGTGCACACACATTTAGAATTAGTATATCTTCCTAGTGGACTGACCGTTTTCTTATTATTAAATACACCGCTTTATTTCTAAAAATGGCTCTTGCCTTAAAGTCAATTTTGTAGAGTAGTGTGGCTATTCCACATTATTTTAGTCAGTATCTTCATGCTATATTTTTTCCAATTCCTTCATGCTATATTGTTTTCCAATTTCTTATTTCAGCCTCTTTTTTCTTATGTTTAAGGTATATCTCCTATAGGCAACATCTAGTTGGATATTTTAAAACTAGTCTAATAATCATACTCTTTTAATTAAAATATTTAGTTCATTTATACTTGATGTTTTATATAATATATATTAGGACTAAATCTACTTTATACTGTTTGTTTTTAGTATGTTCTAACTATTCTATGTTTCCTTTCCTCTCATTTTTTGTATTCTTTTTTTTTAAAGATTTTATTTATTTATTTGGCAGAGACAGAGTGAGAGACGAAACACAAGCAGGGGGAGCGGGAGAGGGAGAAGCAGGCTTCCCGCTGAGCAGGGAGCCCAATGTGGAGCTCAATCCCAGGACCCTGGGATCATGACCTGAGCTGAAGGCAGATGCTTAACAACTGAGCCACCCAGGCGCCCCTCATTTTTTGTATTCTAATAACTTTTTATTCTTTTATTTTCTCCCTCTTTTAGCCTGCATCTGTTTACTGTTCATCTAATAGTTACCAAATGCATCATTTCATCTATTTTTCTTTTATAAATTAGTACTTTATCAATTGCCATATAATGCAAAGGTCTTAGAACAATTTACATCCCTCCAATTTTAGTCTATTTTTTAATTCAATGTATACTGAAAATCCACAATACACTAATATTTTTGTCTTAGTCAGCATTTTTTTTTAAGATTTTATTTATTAGAGAGAGAGTGAGCAGGGGGAGAGTGAGCATGGGGAGGAGCAGAGGGAGAGGGAGAAGCAGGCTCCATGCTGAGCAGGGAGCCTGATATGGGCCTCGATCCCGGGACCCTGGGATTATGCCCTGAGCTGAAGGCAGACACTTAACTGCCTGAGCCACCCAGGTGCCCCAAGTCAACATTTATTTAGATTTACTTGCATATTACTCTTCCCATTGCTCATATTCCTGTTCTATTTCTGATTCTTCCATTTGGAATCATTTTCATTCTGCCTGAAGAACTCCTTTAGTATTTAGTGTAGTTTCTATCGGCTAGAAAATAATCTCTCAGTTTTTATTTAACTGAAAATGTATTTCTTACTTTTTAAAAGAATTTTGGGAGGGGTATTAGAATTCTAGGTTGGCAGCTATTTCAGCATTTTGAAGGTATCCTTCTACTGTCCTCTGGCTTCCATTGTTTCTGGGGATAAATTATCTCTCAATTCTTACTGTCCCTTTGATAGTACATGTGTTTTTTTTACTTGCCAACTTTTAAGAATTTCTGTTTGTCTTTGATTTTCAAAAATGTCACTATTATGCCCAAGATGTCTAAGTGCTATTTTTTTTTATTTATTCTGCTTAGTGTTTATAGCACTTCTGAATCTGGTTTGATGTCTTATCTTTTCAGTTGTATTTTTTTTTCCAGTTTTAGAGAAGTCCCAGTCAGTATCTTTTCAAATGTTGCTTCTGCTTCTCTCTCTTCTTCTTCTAGTATTTTAATACATGTATATGAGAACTTTTCACTGTGTCTCATATGTCCCTTATGCTCTTTCTTTTTTTCTGTTTGTGATTCAATCTGAATATTTTGTTCTACTCTCTCTTCCTGTAAACTAATTCTATTTTCAGCTCTGTCTATTCTGCTATTAACCCCGTTGATAAGTTCCTAATTTCAGTAACTGTAATTTAGGGTAGTTTGTAATTTGAGAATTTCCATTTGATTCATTTTTGAAGACTCCAATTCTTTGATGAAATTCTTTATGTGATGTCCTCTAATGTCTTAGTCATATTAATGATAGTTTTGTTAAAATTTGTATCTGATAATTCCAATACCTAGATCTCCTATGGGTCAGTTTTTTCTTGATTTGGTGGTATCTCCTGGTATTCCCAGTAATTTCTGTTTTATTTCCAGACATTACGAGTTTTAAAATGTGCAGATAATTTGAGGGTGTAGATGATGCTATTTTCCTTCAGAGATTACATATTTCTGCTTCTGCTTCTGCCAAGCAGTTACTGGGGATTGAGGGGATTGAAGTTGGGCTCCAGTTTCCGTGAGGACAAAATGATTTGTGATTCATTCATACTCCTAGTGTATAACCATTTGAGGGGTTCCCATGGGGTTTTCACCATGACCCTCTTCTTGGTAATCCCTGAACTTCAATTTTCATCCTTCCTACCCCTTGAGATAAGTTTGCTCAGCATCGGGGCGCCTGGGTGGCTCAGTCGTTAAGCATCTGCCTTCAGCTCAGGTCATGATCCCAGGGTCCTGGGATCGAGCCCCACATCGGGCTCCCTGCTCAGCAGGGAACGTGCTTCTCCCTTTCCCTCCCCACCCCCCACCCCCACTTGTGTTTCCTCTCTCGCTGTCTCTCTCTCTGTCAAAATAAATAAATAAAATCTTTAAAAAAAAATTTGCTCAGCATCTTAACCTGTCAGTTGTCTCTCTGTCTTTTCAGTTTCTGAACCTATAAGCCATTGGTTGTGAATTGGCAAATGTCCAAAGGAAAAAGAAATGGTGCTAGATTTGGGGTTCATTTTCTTCCTTTTCTTCTCTCTAGTATTTTAGCCTTTTGAGTCCTCGCTACCTTGGTAACTCCGTAATGCCTCTAGAAAGATGAAGCTTTAAAGATAATTTTCCTGGGGAGCCTGGATGGCTGTCAGTTAAGCGTCTGCCTTCAGCTCAGGTCATGATCCCACGGTCGTGGGATTGAGCCCTGCGTTGGGCGAGTCTGCTTCTTCCCTCTCCCTCTGCTGCTCCCCCTGCTTGGTCTCTCTCTCTCTCTCCCTGTCAAATAAATAAAATCTTTTAAAAAATAAAGATAATTTTCCTGTCTTTTATAGTTGACTTCGGTGGATTGGTTTGTAATCCGGTATTCTGCCACTACCAAAAGCAGAAATCTTGATGGAGGTTCTTGCTAGGTTATAGTAATTGAAGGATTTGGTATTAGTCCATTCATTCTTTCAGTGAGCACTCATTGAGAATCTAGTTTATGTCAGGCACCATGCTAGATGCCAGTAATACAATGATAAAAATAAACCACACCCAAAATGAAGCCTGTCAGTTTCCCTGCCTTTGAGACACTCATCATGACCTGGAAGAAACAAACCTGTACAAAGAAGAATGATTTTAGAAACAAATAGATGTATATATAAAGCGTTAAGTGGGGGCACATCAGAGGGTATGCTGTTGGGCAGAAAGGGAGGTGCCATGGAAGACGTCAAGAAAGAGATAGCACTTGAATTGGATCTTGAAATATGAGCATAGCAAGAAAAGCAAAAGGCATGAAGGCACAGAAAATATGCAGCATCATAAAATAATTTTAATTTGGTGAAACTGAAATCTAGATTTTATGGGAAGTGGTGATAAGAGTGATCATGAGGAACTAGACTGGTAGTCCTATTACAACCAGAACTTTATGCCCTGCTCATGAGTCAGAGCATTATTCCATTGGTGATGAGGAATAATTAAATGGCCCCTTTTCCTCTATGATAAAAAAGAAAGCAATGGGGAAAACACAGGTTTAGAGGATTTTGAAGTTATAGGACCTGTTGAGGTCATTGAGAGACTCTAATCTTGGTGGTCTCCATTTTTCAATGAAAAAGAAGGCTAAGACATTGACTAATAGTAACAGAGAGAGGTGAGGTGAGAGAAAAATTTTAAAAGAATAGTAAATATTTGGAATAATCCCTGTGGTGTATGGAAGGAGAACCTACTAGAAATAAATAAATGGATTGTCCCCTAGACTGGGGACAAGTTGGCACTTAGGGAATTGAAATATAGCAGAGAAGCTACCTCTCTCCTCACTGTGGTTATTTGGAATGTAATGGTCAAAATTTCAGGCTCTTAGGTCAGGCAGACCTAGTTTCAAAACCTTGTGGTTTTGTACTAAGACTGCATACTATATATATGACATTAGGCATAATTCCTGTCTTTCTGAATCCCAATGTCCACATTGTACAAAATGGATACAGTAAAAATTATTTTGTAGAATCATCATGGTGGTTAAATGAGTTTTATCTGGCAAAGCTTCTAGCCCAGTACCTGTCACATAACTGGTTCAATAAATTATAGCTGTTGTAGTTTTAAATTGTCATTCACATGATATTTTCTCTATTCTCTTTAAAGGGCATTCTCTTCTCCTCAGTAGAATGTGTAAAATCCACACAGGACCTAGTAAAGCTCTATCTGCATGAATCAAATCGGGTTTATCGAGATAAGATGGTGGAAGAAAAGGACTTTGATCTTTTTGATAAAATCCAGACAGAAGTGGTCAAGAAAATTTTTGACGTGAGTATTGCTTTGCAAAAAATTCTTTTACATTTGAAAAATAATAATTATGCAGATAATCACCCAAATGATAAAATCTAGCTCATAAATTGGGAGGAAAAATCGGAGATTAGATAGGGAAGGAAATCTATCATTATTTTGCTGAGGTGAAAAATGCTAGGACAACAAAAGGCACAAATTAATCATAGAATGTCAGTGTTGAAAAGGTCTGTGGGGATCATCTGATTCAATTCCTCATCATATACTGATTCCTCTCAGTAGCATTTCCCAGATTGGTCATCCCAGTGGATGCTCCAACATCCTTGAAAATGGCCAGTCTCATCTTTCTGAAGGGAGCCATTTTGGAGCTGCTAATGACTGGGAATTTGGAACAATTTTGAAGTTTGGAACCTTGAGAACAATTTTAAAGGCTGGAACTTTTTTCTAATAATGATCTAAAATTTATTTCCCTGTCCACTAATTTTAGGTCTACCCGAAAAACTTTCAAATATTTTAGGATCATTTGTCTTGTCCTTCCTGGGTCTTCTCTCCTCCAGACCAAATAGCCTGTGTTCTTTTAGCCACTTCTGACATGGCTTGTTTTCAAACCCAGAGAAATTTGCCCTCATCTTGATTACTTTTCCATCAGGTCCCCGCTCTGAAATCATGGTGTCTGACTTTCATCACACAACCCAGCTGAGGTCTGGCCAAAAGCAAGATCATCATTCCCTCTTATACACTATAATTTTGTTACACTACTAACTAGTTGCACTATAATACACTCTTTGGAAAGAAAATATCCATAATAAATTGAGAAATACTTCATATTCTTTCCCTCTCTTGGAAATTCACAGTGCTTTTAGCACATTAAAGCCCTAAAATTCTTTTTTTTTTAAGATTTTATTTATTTATTTATTTATTTATTTGAGAGCGCGACAATGAGAGACGGAGAGAGAGCACACGAGAGGGAAGAGGGTCAGAGGGAGAAGCAGACTCCCTGCTGAGCAGGGAGCCCGATGCGGGACCCGATCCCGGGACTCCAGGATCATGGCCTGAGCCGAAGGCAGTCGCTTAACCGACTGAGCCACCCAGGCGCCCCAAAAGCCCTAAAATTCTTGAATAACCCTGATTCATTTATCATTTCCCAAATATATGAAACCCTAAAACTCTTTTCCTTTCATAAAACCTATTAATAATTTGCAGAACAAATACGCCATAGAATATGCCTTGGGAAGCACACATTAACACAGCCTAAGTTCATTCTACACTTCTAGTGTCAAAATCACCCCACAACTAACACTGAGCCTTCTAAAAGTTGACCAGATCTACATATTTTCCACACATACTGCTTGTCCTCTCTTGAACTTAGAAATAACCAAAACTTGTATTTAAATATACCATGTCATCCCTAAGCTCACCTGGTTAGGTCTAGCACCAGATTTTTTTCCTGATACCATCGTGGATCTACCTCTGAAGATACTTACAGTCCATCCCAACCTACATGATAGGACAGCATTTTTTCTTAAAGATTTATTTATTTATTTCAGAGAGAGAGAGCACAAGCGGGAGGGGCAGAGGGGGAGAGAGAGAGAGAGAGAGAGAATCCCAAGCAGACTCTGCACTGAGCACAGAGCCCCATGTGGGGGCTCGATCTCACAACCTCGAGATCATGACCTGAGCCGAAACTAAGAGCCAGACGCCCAACTGACTGTGCCACCGAGCCACCCCTTAAACAGCATTTTTAAGTAACTTATCTCAGTTGGGTTTTTACTAGTATGAACACCCTGAAATTCCCCCCCTTATCATTTTTCTATGTCCCAATATTCAGTACTCTCACATCTTAGGTGCCCCTCTGAGCACTGTAGCTGTAGCATTTGCCAAGTCATGTATTCATTGTTAGCTCTGCAAACCAGCCTTGACTCTCTTCTCCCATTGATTTGAGCTGACACTTTGGAGTACCAACACTCAGCCTTTGAAATAGAGGTTCGCATGTAGGTCTGTATCCTAAGAACACACTCTTTCAATCATAGACTAAGATATAATTAATACTGCCATCATCCTTCCCCAACAACATTTGAAATGCCAGCCGGAAGTACCTTTGGCTGCATCAAATCTTGACAGTGGTATTAAAGAAAAGTTGCCGCGTTTCCACCAAGGAAGTTATACAGTCCTGTTTCTACCAGTGAAATCTTAAAGTTCTCTGAGAAGTAGCCCTTGTGTGATGTGGTGTCACTATTAAGAAATCTTTGAATCACCAGGCGGGTTGATTTTCTCTCTCCCTCCTGAATAGCCTGACTCTGATCATAACATCGGAGACACGTTGTTTTGTTCATCAAAGAGTCTTTGTAGACCAGGCTTTTCAGAACTGTACTTCAGTCATTCCTCTAGTAGATCATTAGTGTAAATTGACTTCCAGCAGGACCAATTCCCAGTATATTAGCCATTTTCAAACTGGGTAAATGGGTTCCCACATCACTTCCCCACGTGCCTTCTGCAGCGAGCAAGAATGGCTCTCTTGCCTTGCATTAAACATTTACCGTTCGTGTGTGGCAAAGCCAGAATAGTTCAAAGGCTTTCCATGGCCCTGAAATCACCTTCAAAGTATAATAACTCTTTGATATTTAACTCTTTCCATTTCATTCTTATAAACCAGGCAGCAGTCCTGGTTTCTCTGTAGATGAGACTCTCATCCTCACTTCCCCTCCATTAGATTTGATGACTCTTACCCCTTGGGCTTACAAAGCTAACCCTACAGTAGTGACTCATTCCCAGGGTAACGTCCATGCTGGTAAAGAGTATGCAGGTTTCCTCTTTCCCAGGTGCTTCTCCCAGTCAGAACTTTGGAAGAAAAAAATGGCAGGTGGGGACAGTTGCTCATACTCATATAAATTCCTACTTAGGTACTAGAAAGCATGTTCTTTCTTGGACTTACTTCCCCTACCACCTTTCTTCCTTTTGAAGTCTCTAAGATTTGGGTTTTGATAAGTAAGTAGTTCCTTTCTAAATTAAAAATGATTAGCTGCCTCTTTGATACTTAGAGGAACATTGGTAGTAAAGAGACACAGACATGCTATCTTTTAAATTAATTGAGTTGTACTAGGTTTTTATTAAACATGGTAAGGTCTGCCCTGTGGGCAAGAATCAACACACAACCAGCTCGTATCTTTATGAAAATTTCATACATAGGGGGTTCTACTCTGAACATTTTCAGATTATCAGGATCCTCATAAACAAACCAGTCATCTAAGGATGGCTCATGAAGCATTTTTTTAGAAACCAAGTTCTCTGGGCTGAGCCAATGAAGTTGGGGCTGGAAGCCTCCAGTGTGCTATCTCACAGGAAAGAGGAAAGGATGTTTTATGATGCTGCTGTGGACTGGGAAGCAAGAGCTGTTGGAACAAACGTGGGGGAGATGAGGGCACTGGGGCATGGACCCCTTTACCCAGCAGTGACGAAAGAGCCCCTGCTTAGGGAAATCTATCCGTGTGTCCCCATCCACTCCTCTGTCCAGAATTGGACTCTTACTGTACATATGGGAAGGGTACCTTCCACCTTCCATTTCCCATCCTCAGCCCACAGGGAATAATAAACATCACCCATGACTTCATGGAGCTGGTAAATGAATGTTAAACTTCTACTCTATAAGAGCTGCTCAGGAGAAAGGAAGTGGTGGAAGCAGCACTGATACTTAATTTGCAGGAAGTGTCCAGAGAGAAAAAGCAATGAGGGGTCTTTACTCTCTGTGGAACCAGAACTGAGTCAGTAAACGGGGTTCTTATGCCTATGTTCCACCACCAGGATATTGATGAGACTGTGAAGCAGACCCAAAGCCTGAACATGTATTGCCATTTTGCCAGTGGTATTGGTGAGCCCAAGTACATGCCCGTCCAATCATGGGAACTTCTGACCCAGACTCTGGTGGAAGCCCTGGAGAACCACAATGAAGTCAACACAGTGATGGACCTGGTTCTCTTTGAGGACGCCATGCGCCATGTGTAAGTGTGCTGCTGTTCCTGCCTTTCCTCAATTGTCTCTTCTTCCCAATGTCAGACGTCTCTTTTGGGCATTTGAGGACACCTTGATCAAACCAGGAAAGCAGCTGTGCTTCTGCCAGGGAGGTCAAGGTGGCCGCTGGTAGAGCAGTGGCCGCAGCATCTTCCACTGGCCCTAGGAGGCAGCAGGATGCTGAACTCGGGCAGAACTGGATTTATTTCCTTGTCTGTCATTTATGATCCCTAGGCAGGACCACAGTGACAACAAGGGAAATTTTGAGATCATAAAAGAGGCACCAGAACAGCTCAAGACCCGTGTTCCCACCCCATACGAGTCTGAGGGCCAACTTTAAAATAATGAGATGGAGGATTTTTCTTTAAATGCTCACATATTTCAAAAATTAAATACCCTCGTAAGTGTTGGTGCTGTCGACGGAATCAGTGAGAGTAGTCACCAAGCCTCCTGGATGATGTATACTTACCCCAAATTCTGTCCCTCTGATGGCTCTTTACATTCCCCAACTGAGTCACATCCCACCTTCCAAAATCTTTCCACCCTGTCCCCTGGTACCCGTGGACCTCTGCAGCAAAACCCACTTCATCTTCAACTTCTCAGAACTTCCCCTCATTGATGATTCTAAGTGAAACCTCACTGACCCCTGAGTTGAGGAAAGCTCTTTTTTCCTCCCCCATTCTATGTACCCCAGGCCCTAGAGAGAGCTAAGGACCCTCCTTCTCTCCCACCTCATTTCAGTGGCCCATTTAAACCATTTCTCCCTTTATCCTTCACAAACCCCAGTTCCTCAAAAGCACGAGTAACTAGACTTTCATACTTACTACCTCGCCTTCTTACTGCCATCTGCTGACATCCAGTCCCTCCCCAACATTTACCAACGACTTGGGTGCTTGGGCCAACTTCCCTCCTCGACCACATCGTTCTTTCTGGCTAGCATTTGTGTATCACCTAGTCTTTCTGCCCGTTGGCCTCGTTAGCTCCAGTCCCCCCTTAGCCACTCGCTCCCACGTTCCTACCCCAGAACTTCTGTCATCAGCGGTGAATCCGTCTCCACAATCTCCATTTCTAACAGCCTACCCTCTGAACTGTACCTCCTACCCTTCCCCTCACCTGCTCTGGTTTTTATTCCAGGGAATTCCTTCTTGACCCAGTCTTACTGAGATATAACTGGCATCTAACATTGCATTAGTTTAAGGTGTACAACATCGTGGTCTGACATATGTATAGAATACAAAACGATTACCACAGTAAGATTAACAGTCATTCACAGGTTACAATTTTGTTTCCTTTTGATGAGGACTTTTTAGTTCTGTTTTCTTGGCGACTTGCATGTATACGATATGGCATTGTTAACTCTAGTCATCGTGTTATACTTTACCTCCCCGGAACTCATTTATCTTATACCTGGGATTTTGTACCTTTTGATCACCTTCCCCTAATTCCTCACCCCCATGCCCCCGCCTCTGGCAACCACAAATCTGATCTCTGTTTCTATATGTCTGTTTTGATGTGTGGGTTTTTGTTTTGTTTTGTTTTGTTTTTTGTTTTGGATTCCACATATAAGTAGGATCCTATGGTATTTGTCTTTCTCTGTCTGACTTCTCTCACTTCGAGATCCTTCCACGTTGCCCCAAATAAAAATAGTTATTCTTCAGCTTCATCAAGACTTCATTTCGTGGAGCCAACCACTTTCTCAGACTCCTTCGCCCCTCTGCCTACCATGTCTTTACTGTCCTCAACCACCATAAGCTCCATTATCCTGGTGCAAGCTCCCTAAGTTTCCTGGCATTATGTCCGTGTGACAAAACCCCATTCTAGGTAAACCCCACTGTCTTACTCCACACCTGCTCCCGAGCATCTGAAGATTGTTGTGGAAAAACCACCACCATTTAGGCTTGGTGTGTTTCAGATTTTCAGCCACACATATCACATGGGCCCTTGACCTTGCTGGAAACACACCTCCCCTACCCTGGGCAGTTTGCTCTCTTGCCCTGCCTGTGATGATTGCATCCCACATTTTCCTTCTCTTCTCAAGATCCTACCATCCCTGCCCTCTCTCTGTTCCCGGTTAATGAGCACATCTCTTCCTTCACTGAGATAACGAAAGCAGCCAGAAGAGAATTCTCTCGTTTCCCCGCCATCAAAGCTAATAGCCCACCTGCATCCCGCCCACAAATTGTGCTTTCTCTACTCTTTCAGTAAATGAACCATCCCTGTTCCTATCGAAGGCCAGTCCTTCCATGTGCGTCCTGGATCCCATCTCTCAGCACCTTCTTAGTGACTTGACTCCTTCCTAAAATTAAATTATTCCTTCTCCCTCCCTCCTCCTCCTCGCTTTTCCCCTCTTGTGCCATCATCATTAATTCAGTGATTTCTGGGTCATGTGCATCTACATACAAACATGCCACATTATCATTATAAAAAATAATGAACTATGCCTTCACTCTTACATCTCCACCTTTTTTTTTTTTTTTTTTTGCTCCTGTTCACAACAAAACTCATCAAAATGGTTGTCTATACTTATCATACTTTCTCACTTCTCATTCTCTTCTGGATCCATTTCTTACCAATTGAACAAAGAAGCTCTTATCCAGTCACCACCGAGCCCCCTCTTGCTGAAGTCATTTATCACTGCTGGGTCCTCACCTTATATAACTTGACTGCCGTGCTGCATTTGTCATGATTAATCTATCTGTTTACATCCACCCATCCATCCATCCACCCATCCACCCATCCATCCATCCATCCACCCATCCATCCATCCATCTACCCACCCATCCATCCATCCACCCACCCATCCATCCATCCACCCACCCACCCATCCATCCACCGACCCATCTATCTATCCACCCACCCATCCACCCACCCATCCATCCATCCACCCACCCATCCATCCATCCATCTACCCACCCATCGACCCATCTGTCTATCCACCCACCCACCCACCCATCCATCTTTCCACCCATCCATCCATCTAACACATATCCATGGATTAGGCATACTATGAGTGCAAGGATCTTTTTTTATTCACTGCTAGATCTCTAAGATCTAGGACAGTGTCTGGAATATGGCAGGTACTCAACAAAAATTCTTAGCATCTCATTTAGGGTAAATGACGTAGAGGAAAAACAGAGAAGGAAAGGGGATACAGAGTGCTAGTGGAGGGTAGGGAGGGTGTTGATTGCAATTTTAAATAGCGTGGTCAGGAAGACCTCTCTGGAAAGGCAGCACTTGACATGATACGTAGGAGCTACCCTGGACACAGAACTCACCACGGACCTGGTGCGTAGAGCTTTGCGTACATCACTTCATTTAGTCTTCACAAAAACCCTGAAGAGAGTAAGGTCTGCTCTTATCTCTGTATATTATGCATGAGGAGGCTACAACCCAGAGAGATGGGAAAAGCTGCCTAGCGCCCCGCACCCCAGAAACCGAGAAGCCAAAGCTTACACTAACGCGCTGTGGCTCCAGTGCGTTTGCTCTCAGCCATCACACTGTGGTGCTTCCTCATCTACATTTCTGTCTCTCCTGATCCAGTGCAAGCTCCTTGTGCGCAGACTCAGTCTTGTCCACTGCTGAATCCCCAAAACCTTGGACAGTGTCTGGTGCATAGTCAGTGGCCAGGACCAGGTTTTGGGACATCCATTCCCGAACCTCGGGAAAGTTCAGTGAGCATTTTCCCCTCTTTAATAGCTATCAGAGCCTGTGTCATAGTCTTGGAATTGAGGCAAATCTCTGTCCTTTCAAGGTAAATTTAATTTGGGAGAAGAGCAAGTGATTCACTCAGTGCAGTTTCCAACATGGGTGATCAAATTGACTAATACTGGTTTTTAGAAAAAAATAAGGCTATGAAAACTGGCTTTTCTCTTGAGGTTCCTTAAGAGGCTCTGAAGATGGTTTCCAGAGAGAAGCCTGAGCTGCATTAGCAATGGCAAAATAACTGGAATAATGAGCTACCTCAAGGGAGGCAGTTCTCAAGATTAAAGTATATTTGGACATATAATTTCATGTACATTTGTTTAAAAACAACGGTGTCCCATGACATGGTCTTTGTACTGCCCTCCCCTCCCCGGGGCTCCTCGGCCCTCTGCCGGCTCTACCAGCCACAGAGAGCAGAAGCACCCCACCTTGTGCCAGAGAGTGGAATGACAACCAACAGTGAGAAACATAACCTAAGAGAGACAGAAGACTCGTGGCCTGGAGCGCAGTGCCCAAAGCAGAGGGGTTTGGGCTCTCTCCGGGAAGGTCCCGACTTCTGATACCCAAGGTGGGAGCAGGGTGAGGCTGAGCAGGGTGGAGGCTCTAGCACTCCCCAGGAACACGCAGGACTGGTCGAGGGGCGAGGGTAAGGGCGTCTGTTCAGAGGTGCGATGAGGCATATGCTCATTTTGATGTTATACTCTGGCTCTTTGTTCTTACTACTTGAGCTCTTACCAGTCTCTCTGGTCCAATTCCCTGACACCTTTCCCAAGCTCTGCTGCTAATTCTTACTGCCCTTTTATGTTGAACCTGACCACGGAGAGCCACGTAGCGAGTTACGGGCACAGATTCTACAGACAGAGCCAGATCCACATTCAAATCCTGGTTCTGCCACTAATTAGCTGCGGTGTTCAGCAAAGGACACTGAACTTCCCTGAGCTTCACTTTCCTCCTCTGGGAATGAGGGTAGTGAGAATGTCTGTGTCGTAGGGTTATTGCTACTGGTGTGTCCGGCGCTTTGTGCTTAACAAGCAGTCCAAAGATGCTAGGCTTTTGCTTTGTGCTATTGTGTCCTTAATGGTACCACTGTGTTCTCCCTCTGACTGTCTTCACCGTTTCAGCAGATTCTCGGTCTGCATTTCCTTAAAGCTTCACACCAAGTCTTTTCCACTGCTTTTGGCATAATCTTTATTTTTTTCTGGGCTTATTGGCTCCCACAGAGATTGTTCTGCCTCTTTTTCTTTCTCTTAGCATCACTTTACGAAAAAGATGTACTTCTCTTGGGCCCCTTCCTTTGTGTATCTTGTCCATTCTAGGACGTCTGCGGCGTGCACGCGTGCGCATGCGTGTGCACGCGTGTGTGTGCACGCCGTGTGTGTGTGTAGCCTTCAGTAAGCCCACTTCCTCCAGCTGTGCTGTGGTACATCTTCAGTTTTTGTTTTTAATCTCGCAGAAATTCAGTAATGAGCTTAACTTAGACCTCACTGGTTTTCTCGCCCAGGAGCCTTTCAGAATATTGATCTTCTTTTTTAAATGTTGCAATTTGAATGCAGAGTCCTTTGCCCTCATCAGAGGTTGTTAATGAATCCCCAGCTGGAGTCTAATGCTGACAGTTGCAGTCTGAACCATTCTTCTCTGGAAACTTCAGAACTAATGATGCATTTCCCACTTAGATATTGAATAGCAGGGACTATGCTAAGCTGAATTCAGGCCTTCCAGAATAGAGGGAGTGTGGGGCGGCACAGAGAACCCAGGTGGACTTCTCCTCCAAAGAGAGGGCCTGGGTATCTTAGCACCTCAGTTTCTCTTTTATCCTTGGAGTCAGGCACCCTCCAATACAGACACGAAGCAGATGAGTCCTTGCCCCTCACATAATGTATGATTGCGTACATCCCTCCAGATGTGACACTGACGTAAGGTATGTGTTCTGCTTCAGTTTAACCAAAATTTACCGAATACCCTCAATGTGCGAGGACTGTAGAGGATACAAGATGAGTACACACACCCTTCCAGTGCCTCAAAACTAGGATTTAATAAGGGGGCCAGAGAATTGTAAATCTATCTGATACAAGACAGAGCAGAAATATCCCAATTAAATAATTATAAAGGGGAAAAGCAAAATCGCAAAAGAACTAAGTGTAGGTCAATAAATAACTCCTAAATACTTGGGGGAATTAATTTTCACTACAGAAAGTTAGTGACTTAACAATTTTAAATCCAGAAAGCTAAAATTTTCTGCACATACAAAAGCACATTAAAATGAAAAGGTAAAAGTGACAAATTGGAGGGATGTTTCAGAACATACCTAAAGGGGTCTTACAAATCTAGAACTCTTCAGTTAAGAAGTGAGCACTCAGAGCACCTGGCTGGCTCAGTCAGAGGAGCATGCAACTCTTGATCTCGGGGTCGTGAGTTCAAGCCCCACGTTGAGTATAGCGATTACTTAAATAAATAAAACTTTAAAAAAAGAAGTGGGCCATGGACATGAAAAGGAAATTCACAAAACAAACAATATATAATGATTAATAAGAAAAATGTTTAATTCCATAGATATCAAAGGAATAAAAATTTAAATCATTGTATCAACCATTCAATGGGCAAAGATTTAAAAATATACATATAAGACCCAGTGTCAACAAGAGTGGGGGCCAGACTCTTTCCACCTGCTGGTAGGTGGGCACTGTTGGCTTACCTGCCCTCCCGCTGGGGCTTCCTTCTCAATAGTAAACACATCCCACAGGAGAGAGGAGACAGTGAGGACCCACAAACATCTAGTTTATTGATGCTGATTATGACCCAGTCATCAGTATATGCCAGAAATGTGCAGTAGTAAAAAGCTCAAGCCACAGAAGGTCAACAGGAGCCCTGTAACCTCATACATGCTCATGCTTTGTTGATATGTAAGTCCCACTCATCAAAACTCTCCTGGCAACCCCCACACTCCCTCCAAATTGGGATTAGCTGGACCTAAGTTGCCCCACCCCCGATGACCCTTACTTAATGTGAATATGATATTTGTCATTGTAATATTAACACGAGATAGAGACACAGGATTGTAGCCTACGCCGTTCAATCTCAGATGTACACTCTGCTCTGTTCAGTCAGACTCCCCCTGAGTTCTTGTTCTGTGCACTCATCCAGGTCCAAGTTCACCAACACCTGTCGTCTCGTCTTCCTTTTATCCATTTCCCAAGTTTTCTGACATAACACATTCTCATGAAACCCACATAATCTAACATATTCTCACCCTTCAAAATAATAGATCCACCTTTTGATCAATTCTACCCAAGAAGACAACAAATTCGTGCCACCATGCTGGGAGGCAGCTTTTCAGTATGTATCAAAAGCCAAAAAAATTGTCTTACTGTTTGACTCAGCGATTTTCTTTTAGGAATCTATCCTGTGGACATGATGAAAGATAGAAACAAAAAATATTTCCACAGCATTATTTATGACTGGAAAATGTTGGAAACAACCTAAATATCCAGTAGTGGGCTATTGCAGATAAGGTTTTTATTCTGTTGTTTCACCATTAAAAGCATGGCTTAGCAATTACTCAGTGGTGTAGGAAAATACTCACAAGAATATGGCTAAATGGAAAAGTGGTTTCAAAGCTCTGTTTAGTATACAACGGAACCCGATTTGACAATAGGGTAGATATATATTGAGCTTTCAGGTGTAATAAGTGTATATACCCATAAATATAAACACACAGACTCTAGGAAAAAGTCCAGAAGGGCCTATAATTAATGTCAGTGGTATTTATTGCTATCTAGTATAGAATTGTAGTTTTCCTGCATTTTATGCATTTTGTGCAATGAATAGTTACTGTTTTTAAGATGAGGAAAGAAAGGGAATAGGAGTTATTTAAATGAAGAATGTAGGTACCTTATGTAAGGTCTATACATAGCGCTAAGGAGAAAGAAGAACGTGGAGGAGGGTCTATGGACAGGTGGATGGAAGAGCGGCATTTGAGGAAGGCCTGGTGAGTCTGGGGAGGTGGGTCCTCTGCAGGAGGTAGTCTAAGACCAGGGCCTGGGGATCTTTCATCATTGCTGGGTGGGAATATGGGTACTGAGAGAGGTGAGTAGAGCTAAAAGGGGAAGAATCCAGAAGCCAAACAAGTGGATGTCTTGTAGGTTGACACCAAGAATCCGCATTCCTTACAAGGGCATCAACAAGGCTCCCTGTTACTCTGCTGACTTTAATTTTGCTTCTCTCTTTAGTGGAACAAACAGTTCTGTTCCTGCTTGTACTTTAGCCTCCCCTGGATTTTTTTTTTCCTCCTCTTCTCTTTTTCCTGGCCCCTCCTCTTGCCTGAAAGCACAAGTAGGTGAGGCCGAGCACTGTGGGAGGTGTGGCAGAGTCAGGCTCAGCTGGGGAGGGGAGGGAGGGTAAGCCCGGGTCCCCTCCAGTCCTTTCTGGCTGCCATGAGCTCTTCCTCCACCAGAGTTCACCAGAGGCTTTGGCTTAAAGCAAAAAGCAGGAATGACTTCCATCCATTTGGGCAAGAAGGTGAGGCCAGGTTTGGGGACAGTGCAACTCACGTTTCCTGCAGCTCAGCCCATGATGGGCCTCCGAAGGGGGTTCCAGTGCAGGCTCCTCACGGAGGAAAGTCTGATCCAGGCCGCGTGCCTCTGCTCCTTCCCCTCAGCTGCCACATCAGCCGCATCTTGGAGTCCCCCCGGGGAAATGCGCTGTTGGTCGGCGTGGGTGGGAGCGGCAAGCAGAGTCTGACAAGGCTCGCGGCGTTCATCAGCTCCATGGATGTATTCCAGATCACGCTGCGGAAAGGCTACCAGATCCCAGACTTCAAGGTAAGAGCCAGTCCCCCTCCAACTGCCCACAACTCCCTGTCACCCTTCCTTAGCTCTTCACTCACCTTGCTCAGAACCTCCCCATAAGCGACTGGCTGTTCACTTCCTCGCTTCTGGGCCGGCGACACCCAGGGCCCTTTACTTATTAGACTCAGTTCTGCATTTGTAAAACCTCAGCTGCTTCAGCTCCATCGGGGTGACCTTGGCTGTCACCAGATCTGAGGCACCTCTCTGTCAAATGTAGCACACAGCTCTCTGGCAGTTCTGGTAGACTTTGAAGGAATTCTGACAGTCTGCCCAAGCTCTGTAAGAAATTTGTATTTTGAAAGACTGTTCCAGTACCCACCGGGTACTGGGAGCTTCAGTGACATTTCCTGGTCCCAGACATTGAGCCCTTAGCAGCCCTGCTGCATGCTCTGGAACGTGGGAAAAGGCATTTGTACAACCTTCAGAGGTCACTTTGCCCTTCTCTTTTGTGCCTGGTTACAACAGAGGTGACAACAGGGTTGGGAGTCCTGATGTAATTTCCACCAGGATGCTGCCCTTGCTGTCCCTGGGAGAATTCCAGCCAGCCTAGAGCCAGATCTGCCCACCTGCCTGCATAATCTCTCAGCCAGTGGTGCTCACTGCTGTTCTGAAAGCACAGCTCAGCCTCTCCACGACTGGCTGGATCTAAGGTCATACACCAGGTCTTCAGTGGTTCCAAAAAAGAGGAAACAAGTTAGTGCATATGAGAAATACACATTTACAGAATGATCTAAGACCGTGGTTCTCAACCTTGGTTAGATACTGGAATCCTCTTCAAATACTGTTGATGCCTGCATCCCACCCTCCAGAAATTCTGGCTTAACTAGTCTGGGGAATGGCCTGGGCATCAAGACTTTTCAAAGCATCCCCCCAGATGGTTCCAGTGAGAAACATTGTCTTAACTAATTCTGTAAGTGCATAAGGTTGAGAACAGTTGATATTAAAGGAAGTTCACTAACTTTGAAGGGGAATGACATATAGGACATGAAAGAAGCTTTGCTGTAAGGAAATGCATGAGGCTCTTAGAAAATGAGCTTTGAGTGGTGCGAGCGAGAGGAGCAAGATCAGGGACTGACAGCTGAGCTTTGTGAGAGGGATGCAGAGATTGAACCAAGATTGACTAAGCTGGAAAAATTCAGGGCTTGGCATCCTAGCCCAAAACTTCATCCACCTGCAGCTTTGAATGGATATAATTTCCTACCAGATGATTGTGTGTGTGTGTGTGTGTGTGTGTGTGTGTGTGTGTGTGTGTGTGT